TATATATATATATATATATATATATATACTGATATTATAAAAGTTTCACTTCTAATATGATATCTCACCTCCTTACACAGATTAGCTATTTTTCTCTTGAAGTTGTGCTTTTCTGCATGAGAGACTTACATACCACTAGCTTTGTGAAACTCCCACTTAAAATGCACATAAAAACATTTGATATTGCACTACTGTTTGCTGATATATTGTTAGATATACATGACTGTTTCAGTTTAAGTTTAATGCAGGTGTCATATTTAGTTATTTTTAGAAGTGATAGTTTATAGTAAGTTTGTTTACATAACTGTTTATGAATCATATGTTATGTAGTTCAATTGTTATGAATTAGTGATTGTTTACAATAATGAGATTATTGCTTTAGATTGCTGGAACTTTCCGAGTTTTTCTCATTGGTTTAATAGAGTATTATTGCATCAAAATATCTAATATTGAGTGGAATGTTCTAGACTTCAGTCAGGGTATAAATATGCATTGAAAAAACATTATTTATTTCTAGATTGCATGATTGTGAGTTTAACAATGAAGAGTGTATAGTGGCAATTTTTTAAAGTGAAATTATCACAAGCTGTATTGTAGTAATAGAGCAGGGAAGAATAATTTGTTTTATCAGTTGTGTTCAAAAGTAACCGAACCACCCTGTGTGGACTTTGACAAAAAAAAGACAGTTATTTAAAGCTCTGGATACAACTGTGGTAACCAACAATGTAACAAGCATTTGTATATACGTTTGATTTTATTTTAATATATTATTTTAAAACAAGTGGACTGTGTTGCTGTTTGTTTATAGTTGAAATTTATCGCCTATAAGTTATGGCACCTACTGTAAAAAAATCTAGCCCTACAAAACCTGACAGTGGTGAGCCAGCCAGGATCTACAGTGGTAAATGATGGTAGAAGAAGACATAAACAACAGCTGCAAAGAGGCATATATATATAGCTGTAGTAGTGGTGAAAATATTGTAGAGGATAGAGAGGGGTGGGCAATTTGGGCTCAAAGATGGTGATCTATGAGAATTTGTTCAACAACAACAAGACCTAGAGAGAGAAGAGAATCAACAGAAGAGAGAGGAGGAGAGTCAGAGAATAGAAGAAAGAGAAGGACTAAAAGAAGAATGTGAGCATGAAAATGTCAGAATGAGAAAGGAGAAAAAGGGAGACTGGAAATAGAGAGAATAAGAGCACAAATGGAGATCACCAAGCTCGCCCAACAGAAAGATGGATAACCCAAGAATGACAATAGGGCCAAGGCCAGTTGACCCAAGCTTTCAAAATTTGATGAACAGAAAGATGGCATGGATACTTTCCTGGAGAGGTATGAAAGACTCACCCAAATCAGAACTGGGCAGTCTGCCTCAGCCCCCCTTCTCACAGGAAAAGGCCTACAAATCTTTGTGGGCGTGATGTCAGGAGATACCATGGACTATGACAAGTTGAAAGTGGCCTTGTTCAAGCACTATAAACTTAGCAAGGAAGGATTTTTTCAGAAATATATAGAAGCCAAACCTGATTGTAGGAATTGTATTTCAGTTTGTGTGCATGTCTACAGTGATACACTCACAAGATGGACTGACATGGCCAAGTGTGAAAATATTCTTGCAAGACTGGCAGATCTACTGATGCATGAACAGTGCATGATCACATACTTCACTGACATGTCACAGTTCCTAAAGCACTGAGAGATGTGGATGAGGTGATAAAACCAGGGGTGGCTAACCAGAATCAGGATGCCACCAAAGGTGACAAGAAGTCAACAGACAGAAGTGAGAAGGAATGCTATGATTGCGGTGAAATGGAGCACATTGCGAGTGAGTGCAAGTCTGTCACCAACAAACAGCCACAGAAATCTCAACATAAAGCAGCTGGAGCTACCTACAAAAATGGTGCTGGCAAGAAAGAAAAAATGTGTTCATGTCACCATGGGTGCTGCTGCCAGAAGAAACAGAATAAAGACAATTCATCAGATTCACCACAAGAAGAAAGTGCTACCACCAGGATTAAACAGTGCATGATTGATGGTTAGTGAACAGATCAGCAGTGCCAGTGGTGATCAGAGCATATGACAAACATTGAGAAATGCCAACAAACCGCAACATGCCAGTAGGTGAAGGCTATGTTGGGGATAAGGAAGTGAAAATTCTATGAGATACTGATTATAGCAGTGAGAATCAGTCTAGTATCTCATGACCAGATGACTGGCAAGGTACATCTGCGTGTGCTGATGGGACAGTGAGAAAGTTTCCCATAGTATGAATAAAGGTGGATACTCCATACTATGTAATAACGAACAATTTGAGATGTTTTTGCCTGTTGACAGCTTTCATCCAATGTGTCGTGGGATCTGTGTTACTATCTTCATCCATTCCTGCCACACATTTCCCTTCACAGAAATTTGTAGGTAATATTGAGGAAGACAAAAGTGGAGTGATTTTTACCCACCCAGTACTTCTTTACTTAATGAATATCTTTCAGCTTTTCCCACCTACTTTATATATACAAAAGTGGAGTGATTTTTACCCACCCAGTACTTCTTTACTTAATTAATATCTTTCAGCTTTTCCCACCTACTTTATATATACAAAAGTGCAGTGATTTTTACCCACCCAGTACTTCTTTACTTAATGAATATCTTTCAGCTTTTCCCACCTACTTTACATGTACCTTATATCCATGGTTTCCTTTCTTCTCCCCAGACTGTTCCACACACACCATTTCCTTTGCATTTAAATTTGCTCTCACTGTATTATACCTTGTTCTCACTGCTTTCCCAGATAACTTGTAGAAGTTACTATTTGGATATAGTTTATTCCTCCTTAACATGTCATTCTTAGGATTTACTGTTTAGACATTGTTTATTACTCCTTAACATATCCAAATACAATATTGTTTAAATCTGGTTTGTTACTCCCTCACTTTGTTGGTTGGTCATGGTAACTTACTTTTTACCATATACCACTTAATTTATTATGTTTCATTATAGCTCATCACTCCTTCATATGTACATATAGAAGTTGATGATTGGTCATATTTACTTATTCCTTCCCATGTAAATTTAATGTTAATATTTTGTTCTGGTTGATTACTCCTTTAGATATCCACATAGAAGATAATGTTTACATCTAGTTCATTACTTGATTATACCTTGCCATCTACACATAACTGTTAATGTGTGCATTTAGTTCCTTATTCTTTAACATGTCCACCTGAAAGATAATGCTTAGTCTTGGTTAATTATTCTTTGTCATGTACTATTACATGTTAATGTTTAATTCTTATTCCTTCAAATGTCCACATAGAAGATAATGTTTACATCTAGTTCATTACTTGATTACACCTTGCCATATACACATAATTGTTAATGTGTGCATTTAGTTCCTTATTCTTTAACATGTCCACCTGAAAGATAATACTTAGTCTTGGTTAATTATTCTTTGTCATGTACTATTACATGTTAATGTTTAATTCTTATTCCTTCAAATGTCCACATAGAAGATAAAATTTGATGTAGTTAAATACTTCTTAACTTGTAACTCACTGGAGATAATGTTTCAACATAGTCCATTACTCCTTTACATGTACACATAGAAGATAATGTTTACACATGGTTAATTACTCCTTTATATATATATGTATTGAAGACGATCCTTAGACATAGTTAATTGCTACTTCACATGTACACATAGAATATTATGTTTCACATAGTTAATTACTCCTTATCATGTCCCAATTAGAATATAGTATTTGGTCATTGCTCCTTGTCGTATACATATAATGGTTTATGTTTAGAAATAGTTACTTGTTATTTAACATGTACACTTAGATATTAATGTTTAGTTCTAGTTCATTACTCCATAACATATAACACACAGAATATATTGTTTAGTCATAGTTCCTTATTCTTATGCCAATTAGGGGGTAATTTTTTGTCTTAGTTCATTATTCTGTAATATGTACACTTAGTAGGTAATTGTTAGTTGTAGTTAATTATTCCTTGACGTGTACACAAGGTGGATAATGCTTCAATCTTGTTCCTTCCTCTTTAGCATGCATACTTAGATAATATTTCTCTCTATTTCATTACTCTTTCAGGACGTTCTTATTTACATTGTAAGAAGGTTATGTAACTCTTGTCAAATTTCGTTCAAAAAATAAAACTAGTGGATGAAATTGTTTGAAACTTGAGAGGAACTTTCCTAAAGGCATGTAGTTTTAGAAAAATGTAATATTTGATTTTGATTTTTTCTACTATTTCTACTAAAAACTTGTTATTTATTGTAGTTATTTGCACTGAGGTTCTGAATAGTTCAGTTTCAAGGTGATTTTCATGTTAAGTATAAAAATATTTTTTTAATTTTACAGTTTTTAAATTTCATTTGTATAACCTCTAGAATATCTTAAATGAATATCAAAAGTTTTTAAGATAAATG